AGTTTGGAGCGAGGTTTCAGTAGACCTGGGACAGAGTTTTGAGCACTAGAATCGCTGGCTATGGTGACATTTGAAGAGAAAGCCGAAAAAGGAAGTTGAAAGTTGAAAGTCGATGTAGGAGGAGTAATAAAAAGTGAAGACGGAGGTTGATTATGAATACAGTGGTCTTGAGCGCTGTTAGAGGTATGAGGGCGGTTATCGCTTCCCGGTTGCTCACACCGTGGAAGGGTTGTTCTGGAGGTGTCTGAAAGGGAAATTGGATTAGAGGTGGTCTTAGTGACCTGAGAGCGTGACCGCAGTGCCCAAGGGACAACTGCTTGAGGTCGGTCACACACGACCTTTTTATGGGCAATTTTTCTGTTAGCTCCGTACTTGTTGAAACCTTACCAGTCAGTCAGTAAGAACGTAGAACTTCGTACGTACGTACATCAGTTCGAGTTGACACACCACATTAGCACAGAGATGCAGTGGTCGATTCAAATCCCGTAGTGCTAGATGTAGTAAAATTATAAACTGTAATCAGAAAAATTAGGGTTTGAAGATGTTATTCAAGGAGTATAATACAGTGAAATAAATTTGGAAAGAGAAAAAAGAAAGGGACATGAAGAATTCAGAAGATTAGAATTTGGGAGAACACAGAGAGTGGATGCACCTGCGCCATTGCAAACGATTTTGAGCCATGTCATTCAGGGTGTCTAACCATCGGTTGCTATCATCTCGCGGTCCCCAACCAGGTAGTCTACACCTACCAACATGACTCAGTTCACTTGTCAATGACTTCATGGACTTGTGCCATGTTTTGGTTTGGCCGCCCCTAGCTTTCTTCCAACCTACTCCTATACCACTGAACATAGCACGTCGAGGTAGTCGGTCGTTGGGCATACGTAACACGTGTCCCAGCCATCTCAACTGATGAAGTTTCACTACTTCATTAATTGATTTTCCATCCTTACCTAGTACCCGTTTCCTAACAACTGTGTTACTTACTCGATGGTCCCATGATATACGAGCAATGTTTCGAAGACACCTATGATCAAATACTAGTAGCCTACGGATATCCTCTACTCTTGCCGGCCATGTTTCACTGCCATAAAGTAGGACGGAACGAACTGCTGCGCAGTAAACGTCCTTTGGTTGATAGACGGATATCTCGCCTACGCCATAAATGACGCAAGTTGGCAAAAGCTAGTCGAGCCTTCTGTATCCGCGCTGAGATTTCGTCACACACTAAACCACAAGGGCTAATGAGACTTCCAAGATAAGTGAAGCGGTCGACACACTCAACTACTTCACTCCCTATCACTAGTTCGGGTGTCGATGTAACCCAATCCTGAAGTAACATTTTGCATTTCGAGGGAGAGAATCGCATCCCGAACATGCTTGCATTGTTGCTTAGAGTGGTCAGAAGACTCTGCATTTTGTCAGCGTCTTCACCAAATAAAACTATGTCATCTGCATATTCTAAGTCAACAAGTGAACCTCTCGGTAAAAGTTCAACCCCTGAAAATTTAGATGAGGAGAGTGTTATCTCTAAAAGTACGTCGACCACAAAGTTGAACAAGAATGGAGAGAGTGGACAGCCCTGACGAACACCACTTGAGGTAATCAATTCTGATAACAGTTCGCCATAAGCTCTCACTCTACCAGTTGTGTTCGAGTAGAGAGCCTTTATAAGGTTAATGTACTTCTTTGGTACTCCTTTCAGTGACAAACACTGCCATACAACCTCACGATCAACAGAGTCGAATGCCGCCTTAAGGTCGAGAAATACTACCATTGTGGGGCGTCTGAATGTGTGTCTGTGTTCTAGAACCTGACGTAGTGTGAATATCTGATCTATACAACCACGTCCAGGTCGAAAACCGGCCTGGTTTTCTCTAATCTGCTCTTCACGAGCTTTGAATAGGCGTCGAAGTATTATTGAAGCTAATATTTTAGACACTATATTAGTCAAACTGATTCCTCTGTGATTGTCACAAGAGGACTTTTGTCCTTTCTTATAGACTGGTACAATCAGTGATTGAGACCAGTCAGATGGGATTACGTCCAGTTCCCAAATTCTACCTAAGACCTCGGTTAATCTCATTGCTAATACTGGACCACCATCCTTAAAAATCTCAGGAGTAAACCTGTCAGGGCCTGCTGCTCTCCCTCGTTTCACATTTCCTATGGCTTTTTCAACTTCGTAAAGGGACGGAGGACCTACATTAACTTGCCATTCAGGTTGACTAGAGATCGTGGGAAACCGAAGTGTGGCTGAAGGCCAGTTGAACTGATCCCTAAAGTGTTCTGCCCATCGATCCAATCTCCTCGATTGAGAATGAATAATATGTCCATCTTTCTCTGAGATTGTTTCGCTAACGGTCGGGTTCCTAATTCCGGTTTCCTTAACGAGTCTGAACAATTGTCTGCTATTACCTATTGCCGCTGCCTTTTCCATCTCTCTTGCTTTCGCTACCCACCACTGTTCGCGATCATTGCGTAGACTTCTTGTCAGCTTGCGCTTAAGCTGACTCCGCTCTTCATTATGTTCAGAGCCAGGTGGAATGAGTTTCCGAGCATCTATCAGTGCGATAGATGCTGCTGAGATCCAGTGTTGCTCCCTAACCTTTTGGTTTACCTTACTAGCAGATATCACTGCTGTTTCCACAGCTTTTCGGATATCATTCCATGCTGCCTCAGGGTGGGCATCATATACATGGCTGCCTAACTGTTTTCCTAGTTGTTCCTGAAATATACTCTTAGCTTGACTATCATTAGGTAGGCCCCTAAGAGGTTTCCTTGCAGAGTCTTTCCTACGTCCAGTAAGACGCAAGCAAATACGCGCTCGCACTAGAGCATGATCTGAATCTAGGGATGTGCTCCAGAATGAGCGACAGTCTTCTATCGAGCCCCTCCATCGGTGGCTGATAGCGATGTGATCTATTTGGGTCCAACGTTGGGACGAATTAGGGGGTCTCCATGTTAAAAGATGTTTTTCCTTATGTTTAAAGTTAGTATTTGCAAGGAACAGGCGGTTATCTGAGCATAGCTGCAACAGACGGTCGCCATCATCTGTTCTCTGAGCCACGACACCATAAGATCCACCTAGGTGTCTTTCCCTATCGCTTAGTTTACCTACTTGAGCATTTAAGTCACCGGCCACTATTACTACACCTGAGCGCTTAGCTTTTCGGAGAAGGTCCGAAAGCTTTCTGTAAAACTCATCTTTACATCATCTGAGCTGCAGTCAGTGGGAGAATAGGCAGAGACGACGAAGAGGCAACGACGAGTGTCCCTATCTTTCCGGATCCTTACTGTTCCGTTCAGTTGGACAGCGCACAAACGACTGTCTACTGGGATCCACTCTAAGAGAGCTAGTTCTGCCCTAGGACTCAATGCTATACCTACGCCGGCGAGGCCACGGGAAGCAGAATCAGGGCTTCCAGATACACGAAGCGTAAATCGAGTCGGTTCTTTATTTTGGCATGGTGAGGTCAAATGAATGACGCCACTCGGATCCTGTATGCGCGTTTCGGAGACGCAGCACACATCGATGGCGCGAGATTCTAAAGTTTTAGCTAAGGAAGCCTGTTGTCCTATTTGGCAAAGTGTTCGTACGTTAAAAGCTCCTACGTGTAGTTTAGAGCGTGGTTTCAGGAGACCAGGAATGGCGTTCCACGTACTCGAATCGTTTGCCCTAGCGGTGCGAGGTGATAAAGAGACGTGAGGAGGGTTAGTCATGGAGATAAGAGAGATATTAGGAGGTGTAGGAAGGATTTGAATGTGACCAACTTGGTTTCGAGTGTTGTTACGGGTATGAGGGCTGATATCACTTCCCGGCTGCCCACACCGTGGAAGGGTATTTCTTGAGGAACCTGAAAAGGAAATTGGATTAGTGTTGGTCTTGACGACCTGGGAGCGTGACCGCAGAGCCCAAGGGACAACTGCTTGAGGCCGGTCGCGCACGGCCTTTTTGTGGAAGGTTTTTGACGTGTTAGCTCCGTTCTTCAAAGGGCCTTACCGCCGGAGACGGAAATCCGTGAGGTAAGGTGAGGTGTGACATTTTTAGGGTCGACCTTTTCTAACCCCACCCCTCCTTGTGGGAAGGCAGCATCGCTGTCATGCTGGTTGTCCGAGGGAAACACCTTACTGCTGTCACACCCCTCTACAGTCAGCAGTACAACTTCGCCTTCGGACCTTGGGTTTGTTGCTTTTAGTCTTACCGCTCTTCAACCGACCTGTTTGACATGGTAGGACCTCGAGGAACGGTTGTTTCAGCCAGTATAGCTCGGTTGCTTCATCACGATAGGCAAGCCCGACCACCACGTCAAGGTAGCAACAACAACTTGTCAGCACGCTCCGACTAACACAGATCTCGGTTCTTAGGCAAACTTTGCAAAACATTTTCACTTAACAATCTATGTTTGTCGTCAAACGCACGGTTGGTCGGAGTATACAGACGTGCTCAACGAGTTTTAGGAGCCTGGAGAAACCCAGTGCCTACAAACGGGAGGCTTCGCGAAGCCTCAAGCGACTTTATCGGAAATTTTCACGTCATAAAAATGCAAAGTGTTCATTTATACTTTTTAGTGTGTTGGGAGTTAGACTTGAACTTAGCTTGGTTTGATATCTAGTTGTAACGGAAGCTGCATGGATTCGTTTAGGATGATGAACTTGTTGGTCACTGAGACGTAAGATAAGATTAGCGCGAACAAGGGCATGATCACAGCCTAGATAAGAACTCTAAAAGGAGCCACAGCCTTGTGCACAGCCACGCTAGCCATAGTTGATCTCGATATGACCAATCTGACTAAAGGCTTGAGTTGTAGAGAGAGCCCCAGGTAATACACTGGCGATGACTGTGTCGATAGTGCTGACCAGAAACAGGTTGCAGTCTGTGCAGAGCTGCAGGAAACGGTAACCGTTATCCGACAAAAGAGTCCCCATTGACCACGTTGACGACTCTCCTCCGAGCACAGCCCCTCAAACTGTCCATCCGAATTTCCAGCTAGTAATACAACGTTTATCGAAGGAAGTTTTGAGATCATTTGACTGGTAGTAAAGGTCATCCTTGATTGCATCCAGGTTACAATAAGTTTACTATTAAAAAGATTAACGAAAATTTAGTATTCTGAATGCTTTGCTATAAATATCTTGACGTGACATCATCAGTAAATACTAAAATACAGAATGATTAGTGAACAATGTGTTTTTCAGTGGTGAAAGGATCCCAGAGACACGAATATTTCAGTGATGGTCTTTAAATGACGGACCAACTAGACTGTAACTGCAGCTCTGAGTTGTGATAGTATAGATATCTAAAGTATTATTCATTACCTTGAAGATGTAAATAAGCCTTACTGGATCAGTGTTAACAAGCTTCCTACTGAAAGTATCTAAGCATTGAACATTAAAATACTCTAGAGCCACTAATTTGAACAAAGAAAATCAAACAAAAGTAATATTCACCTTCATTATTAAATGCCGATTTGGCTAAAAAGCGATCGACATCTGTATAACGCAGATCTTCTCGCTTCTTTCCACCAACTAAATGCTCATACGTACGCCTATTGATATAATTACCACCGGCATTACTAATTTAGTGGGAAAAAAACAAATTTAAACACGTACAAAACATTAGACATTACCATCATTTGAGATAACTTATGTAGTAATACATGAATCAATAAATTTTAGAGAGGAGTGATTGAACTAAAGCTGATTAGAATGACTACATTAGAAAAGTGACTTCTCAATATGAACTTCACAAAACTAAGTACCTAATGGCAACGTTAAATATTATACTAAGTGCACCCAAGGAATTCATAAAACACAGATTCCTGAGATTTAATTAACCCCAATCAGTAAATTTACATCCCTCAAATTGATTAAGTGAACAGTAAAATACACCATGAACTGGTTCTATGTCCTTATTTAATTACCATTAACCTTACGTAAACCTAATCTTACACAAAAATATTTACTAAATCTAGACTACGTTGCAGTTGTATGTTATATGACTTTACCTCAATAGCATTGATCGAGAATTATAGAGGTATACTGAAAAGGTCTCAACGCATACATTTTCACATACCTCAAAAAGATGAATATTGACTTTCTAAAATCAACGCCTTCAACTGTTTCACGGACCTCTAGCAAAGGTGACAATATATCCAATATTCCATGAGGCATATTGTGCATTTCATCAAAAACAAATATTGATGTAGGGCACTCGGAAACAGCTGTATGTAGATCTCGATAAAGGCGTTCCTAAAAATGAAAAAATACGGAATATTTGTTAATCAGAATGGTGATACTGAATTCTACACTCATAAAACTATGTGCCTACTGAAACTCAATTACTCCTACACTTACGACAACTTTCAGGGTTGAATAAGTAAATAAGACCTGTACATAAGATGGCAAACTCAACCGTTCTTGTAGAAAAAACTGTCTACATGTGTACTATATCTCATGTTAGCAAAAAATAATGGGACACGATAAATAGAACACTGAAAAATGAAAATATAAATCAATATTTGGGTTGGGTGACTTTTGGGGCACAACAAGCAATTTAAGCCTCAAGTGATAGATAAAAGCAGAAAAACTTTTGAGTGTAAACTTGAGGTACTTTCTTGATTAAAGTGAAGATCGCTAGTCATACTATACAACTCGAAAACCATAAACTTCCATGAATTTTTCACCCTCTAAATCTAGTTAAAACAAATTCAACATAAAAAGAACTTGGTGATATATGCATATAACAGTGACGTTATCAAAAGATTGTAGTTATTTGGCCTGGGATTCCACGCATAGGTAATAACTAACGGATATGTTTCCTGTCACCGAATAGTCAATGTCCAAGAAATGATGCCAAACGACGCCGAAGACAATGAGGATATATCACAAACTAAACAGGAATCTAGAATGAATACGGACAGAAGTGACCCCGAATGCCCTGGTACGGTAGAGAGTAGGGAGAGTCAGCTCTCCCTCTAGAAATGCCCTCACATGGCCACGTGAATACCACTACCAGGGAAGTCCTACTCATTACCTTTTCGCGGCGTTACTGTTGTTTACGAAATTGAGAGGACGAAAAGCAAATGTCCGGCTCTTTAACTTGGTTGGTGAGTACGGAAGATCCACCTAGAGGAGTCGGAAAACCCTGATTCCTAACCAATGGTGCACATGGGCCCCAGGATCCTAAAGAAACAAATGGCATATAAATCTATTGTTTGTCGCCGGCTATCATGGGACTGTATCTCCTTGGGCTAACCCACTGCCTTGTGGATTAAACCGTTGGGTCAAAGGCTCTGGGAGTGGCCCCCTAAGAAAATCATTGCTTCGGCTTGGGTACGCGGGAAGTATCATAGTCCTCGCACATATCGAACGATTTGTTTGGCACATATGTATTTGATGCCTTGTACCGAGTCATTCGCGTTCGAATAAACAAATACAACAGGGGAAAAGGGGTTATACGCCAGCGATGTAAAGGTTTTGATTTTTAGAATATATGGGGATACTAAACTCATGAAAATAATAAAGGGTACTAGGTATTTTAAAGTTTTAACGATGCACTCTCGTTGATAGGTAATTTCGAAAAGAAAGTCATGATTGGCCAAATGGAAATTTATTAAGGATATTGAATTTGAACACCCACGTAAAAATAAGGAATAACTGGCTGATATAAAGTTCTAATATTCATTAAAATATCAAATAGGTCTAGGTGATTAATAGAACATGCAAGCCAACCTTATACTCCGGAATATGGGAGGCATGTTTGAAGTGTATTGTCGCATCATAGAAATGGTAAAACCGACTCCTTGTTCCCAATTTCAAAACATTATTCGCGATAATATTTGAAACAAAATTCTTCCCAACACCAGTGTATCCATGGAATGACAATGCTAGAGGCTTTTGTGGCAAACCACCAGAAATATGATCGACTAAATGATGATACACACGCTCAGCTGCGATATGCTGACCATGCAATTCATCCGAAAGCGATCGTTCCAAGCCTGGAAATGAAATTTTGAGAACCTACTTGTTTTGTTGAAGTGAACGGCTGAAGAACAGCATTCATATAGGAGACAGTTTAGACGATACTTGTATATTACTCCCGTTATCGCTACTGAGAACGGTACAAGCGCGACAAACGGAAAAGCATTGCAACTCGCAAGCAGGAGAAAGAGTATCACGTTGTAACGCATGCATCCAACTATACCGCGTAATGTATCAGAAATGTAGTGTCAGTTATTATTTTAAGCCCATATATCTTATTCTAGTTTGTGGACAAACCAATCTATTCATTCTACTTGAGTCATATTTTGGCCTTGCCAATTATTCGCTTATCAGTCTTGACTGTTTTTATATGAGCGTATATGTGTGTGCCCTTCTTATTCCATTAATCACATGTCTGTAGCTTTATTTTGTCTGATTATAAATATTGAGTAACGCTTGACTAAAATGGAGTTGGCTTCCCAGCCATCTTCCCTGTGCGTCATTTTGCTTTGCTCTGTTTCATTCGCTTCATATACAAAATATATGTATGCGCAGGTCTATTCTCGTTATTTGACTTATTTAATTCCGTTATTGACTAACGCGATTTAAGTCGACGATTATATACGAGAATAGGCGATAACAAACATTCATACGCTCTAAATGGAGTCGAGAACTACGGGCCACCAAAGAAGTCCAAATTCAGGTTGGCATGGCCGGACCAGGTGGCTGTTCATTCATCGAACTGTGTTTGGTTGGTAAGAGGTAGATCTCAGTTACAACTGAAGGTAGCGACTTATTTTTCTAAATATAAAGGGGGAAATTAGTTTAAAATAGGACGGTAGATCATTAAAGAGCACAAAAGTTAACCTCCTACAGAGTCTACAGAACTAAGGTAAATGCTGAGCCTTCTATAAAAGGCTCCATCTGTATCACGAACTTTCGTGAGGGCTCTGTCGTGTCCTGTTTTAAATGCATGTGATGAATCCAAATATTGTGAATTGGCCAAAAGAATTCTGTTACTGGAAGCAAACAATCACTTTTCTAATGCCACAGAACGTCATTGAAAATTTAACATACACCAATAGTGGTTAGTTTACATCAGCATAATGCTTTTGTTGGAGCTCACCAGTGTTCATACACTATTAGATTAATTTATTCAGTGGTCCTCCCTCATGTTTGCTTGTACAACTCTTGTCTCGGATTTCACTTTTTCCAAGTAGTCAGAATGGTTTAACTTCTCGAAATTAGGCGGTGAAGTCACTATGAAGATACTGAGCTCATTATCCCAGTAAACCGTACAATCGACATTAGACACATATATTGTATGTCTCACTTTCACAAGACTTTTCACTTCCCCCTTTAGAACGAAAAAACTGGCACCTCACCAGGATGCTTGAAAACTTTACTCCATAAAGAAGAAATATAGATCGCTCTCTGGACGACACCGGAGGAACAATCTACTACCTAGCTGGTTAAAACCTTGTTCAATAAAAAAAACTTACCAAACAAATGGTCACATTAAATAAGAGCTGATGTGAACCACCATTTTCTTAGTCAAGGAGTAAGTCCTAATCCATCAGTTATCACTGTTCGGCTTCCGCATGTTTTCCCGTGTTGACTCGAAATAAACCACCGACTCTACTCTCGTTGTCAACCCTTAATCAGCTTCACAAACATGATCCCTTAAAGCCATGAAGACCTATCTTTTCCCCTGTGGTTGACCGTGAATTTCGCCTCAAACATCGTAATACAACTGTCACTGTTCGTACCTCTTAACCTTCAATTCTTATTCACATCCGGAACGATCGAGTCGGAAACTTTTCCTTACCCAAACCAGGAATTTTTAGACTAACAAACATGCTTTGAGCACGCAAATTTTCCAAATCAAGACTTCGTCGGTTCCTGATACTTGCTTAGATTAATTAAGAAGCATGTCTATGGGTCAACAAAGCAAATTCACCAACTCTTCAGCACTCGTTCATTGCACAGACAGCTCCAAGCCTGAAAAACGTCTTCATCGAGCTAAACATCAGGCTAGAGTTCTGGCAGATAAGCGAAGAAATAATAGAGTGCTATCACACAACCTAGACTCAACTACAATCTTTTAAATGATTTCCGAAGAATAAAATTCAGAAATCATAAGCAAAGATAGTCATTCAGTTAGTATGCGCTAACACTCAGAAGAAATTTCATTGCGAAAACCCGGTTTCTTGATGAAATAAGTGATTCGTAAAGCTGGTAAAGTTTTTCCGTATTTAAGTGATATGTGAAAAAAAGGAAATTTTTGATTGACTTCATACACCGTCTGTTTAGAGAGTTTGGTATTGACCTTGGAAGCAATCGATTCCAAGTGGAACTAAAAGGATTAGATTATTGTTTGTAAAATCAAAATGTAATCTACAAATGCAAGATCACATCCTTCCACCCGATGATAAAGCGGAAGTCAGCGGGATAAATGACACATCTATTAGAATAATAATCTAACCCGTGTTTTTTTAACTTACCATTAGTTATCTTCATAGCAGTGTGATATACTAAGTGTATGTCTAACCCATAATACATGTGCCTAAACCATCTGATTTGCTTGTAACATGGAACTAAAAGAGACAGTGTATTCCAATTATGGGCTTTGATTAAAGCAGTATTCATACTTACCACAAACATAAGACAGACTAATATCACAAAATGAGGGAGAGTGACGTTACTGACCAGCAAACACAATCGTGAGGAGATAACTCTAATTCACCCATGTTTGTAGGGCAGAAGACTTTGTATAATTACGGCCGCTTATGGTCTAGTTGAATGTTACAATCCACTGGTATTGATACTCATTTATTATGCAAAATACCTCATTAAATCGTGTTTAGAACGTCGAATCGGTCTCATTTCCTACCCAGTAATCCTATTACAGACAAACTAGACAATTAGCTAAAGACAAAGCCTACTCAAGACCCTATAAAATCTAGAAAAAGGGCTCTAACAGCTTCGACAAAAAAAGTGAGACAGTCATTTGTATATCAGAATACTGTTTTCTGAACTGTATTTTATACCTACATATAATCCCATACTTTCAGCTTCTTTCAAAACCACGTCCATTTGTCAGTTGTTTATCCAGCCATACCTTGTTTACACTTATTTTCTTTAATCTATTAGAATGCTCCCACTTAATAGGTTCCTTAACAAGTGAGAATTAAACTGAGTAGTCATACCATAACTTTTCCTCCAAGAACATTGTCTGCTCTACTTCTTGTCCTTCCTTTATCTTGCACGCTTTTTCATCTCCCTTGGGATATGCCACCAAAAATATATGTGGAACGGGTGACTTCACCCTGCACCATCATGAAAGCCTTAGATAATCCGGAGGGATATAAGGTCGCGGTTTCTGGAAGCCCCCAACTTCACATAGATCTATTTTCGACCATCAGTTGCACGTCGTAACGCAACCTTCATAAACCGGGCCAACTGTGATACTGACAACACGATTCTTACTAAAGCCATCTACATTCATATCTTATAGAATATCAACCCAGCTGAGTAATTTACTACAGTGACAATTGCATCTTTAGTAAGAATTTTATCTTGCCTCTAAACTGGCATGCCTCATGTAACAAACTGTTATTTGAGAATAAATTATTATTACTATTAGTAGTGAAGTCTATAGATGCCAGTTGTAACTAATTGTTACGTAATATACCAAACAGTGTGCATTTTTTCAAACTGTGAGTTTTACGAAGTCATATATCGTCCAAGCCCTAGTTAAAGCCCCACACCTAGATGCTACATACATAATGCTTTTAAAAACAACTAGGAAACCGGCTAGTCAAGACAAGCCGAGTTGTACATGTTGGAACCAATCGAAGTATTTTTTAGTAGGCAGAACTAAAGCTAATTACTGCCGGTAGAATAAACTATGATACATGACCCTTGATGCCAAACATACGATAATTGGGAAGATTTAAATCCAAAATTAAATACCTAGGGAAGGTCAGGAATGATGAATGCGGAGAAAGTTATCGATATGGCATGACACGGCCATGCAGGTGTGGTCATTCTATGTAATCCCTTGCTGTTTCTATTAAAAATATTATCCTACCCTCGACCCTAATGTATTCTCCAGATCTTATCAGCAATCTCTGACTGTCGCGTGGAACGAGTCAGTATAGGTAGTGGTGTGGCTCCTAAATAAGATCTCATATTTCGTACATGTGGTTCCCTTTATTATTTTAAAGAGAGCAAGAATAAAGGTTGGTGCAGAATAATATGAATTCATTTTATTTCGTTAGGTTCTCATCAGCTGCTTACAACCTAAAATATTTGAAATTTAACGTTATTATAGGTATTGACATACTTATACATCAGAGGGCGATGAAAGATGAATATATGTAACATGATGTAGCAAAGATTTCGTTAGAGTTAATGAGGTCATAAAATTCTGTTTCGAATATATAGAGTTTGGGAGGGAAGGTTCCAGAACATTGAAATAGTGATTAGAAGTCATGGAATTAAATAACATTAGTTTATTATGCAATGTTCTTTGACACAATCAAAGGTCTAGAGGTATCCCTTTCATGTTACTGTAACAGCTCAGGTTGGTTGGTTAAGAGTTGACCCCAAACAACCAAGCTTATACCAAAACAGTATTGTTCAAGTATTCATTCACTTCCTTATTTTTCATAAGCGTTATATTCCCTATTATCTTGAATGTTGAGAGCCTTTGTTTGTCTGAACAGATAATCCCACGCTCCACTGTTACTGCGCGAAGATCGAAAAAAAGACCTATTCACTACTTCTCTGGTTTCTTCTATCAATAGCACGAGGGTTACCTTAAGGCACGAAATTACCACCAACTGTGTATACAAATTTACATGTATCTGCCAAAGCAATTACATTGGTAGAACGGAAAGGAGAGCTTACGTCCGACTCAAAGAACATATTCCGAAGGGTTTGAGATCAAACGGACTAAAAGCATTTATCAGCGCTATCGCAAGACATCTCCTTGACACAGGGCACGAAGTCGATATACTGAAGTCCTTCATGGTGATCAACAAACAATCAAATTCAAACCTTTTGAAATTTGCCGAAGCAACAGCAATCAAACGTTTAAAACCAGATCTTTGTATACAAAAAGAAACAGTAATAAATATTTCTTTGCCCTGGTAACATTACCCCCCTTTATTTATTACGTAATTCCAACTCTTTCTGAATCTTATAATTGTATCATTCATAACTGACCAAT